TACGTTGAGAGTTCAAACCAAAGGCACATACGGGACATGGAAATCAATAAGATGGGACCTGTAGCGGATTGCCACTTTAGTAAAGCCTGACTGACTCAGAAATCTCTATGGCAGATCCTCCTACATCTAGCTAGACTCCCAGAACCAGCTAAGCTAGAGCCCAACTATAAAGGAAACAGACGTATAGCACGGAGCACGTTTATCCAGGACGTATGTTGCGGATAAAGTGTACACGCAGGAAGCTTAATCATGATCAGGATGGCGGATTAGGTTAGAGGTTAATGATTGGTCACTGTTTGTACGGTCGCCCCTCCCAATCATGGCGTGCAGGCATGCGATGACGTGTCCCACAGACCAAATTTAAGGCCTTACAGCACCACACTATTAATATGTTGCGTTAACACTGACCATTTGATACCTTAATAATACTTTCACCTTAAGTACTGAGAATAATAATGTTACCTTCGAAACGTTTATTAAAACGCTTCCCATTGCCCACCTTAAGTAACACCATAAAGCTTACGTAGTGAGAAACTCAAAGACCAGTGGCTGGCTACTGCGTTCACTGGGTTAGCATCCAAACTGGTATTGAAATCGTAACCTCTGACTTAGTAAAGTGTATTAATTGCTGTGCCGCTTGTGCAAAAATACTAATTATGCGAGCAAATTTTGATATTACCTTAAATATCTTTGCTCAATCTACGCCAACCTCAATCCATGCCGGTACTTATATAACTTTGAAATAAACTTCACACACTGTTTCCCTCCTTAGCCTTTTGATACTAGTTTTCTCTTACACATGTCTTCACTCCTCGTATCTTTGCTCAATTATGACATGCAAATAAAAGGTCTATCTAGTAGATCAGTAATTCTATGTTAGTGGTTGATAACACTGGTCGAAATGCGATTTAATTGGCAAAAAACACAACACAAACAATCCCTCTGTTTGCATCTCATTGAATGCTCCATTCTTATACTATGCATGTTTTAAATTAAATCCGCGAATAGTATCATTGTCAAAAAGTAATTATGTTCAAAATATTTCCTTCCTCTAAGAAAATACAATGATTACCAGATGGCCTAATATAATGAGTAAACGTTCTTGCCTTTACTGCAATGTATTAGATATTCTGTTATTTGAATTCTCACTGCCTGAATTCACGATAAATAATCATTGAGACACTACTTAAGTATGATTGGCTTCAACTGTCGTTACGCTGACATATCTAAGCCATCGTTATTGGTGCAATATATTAAGATGTGATCTGGTCAAGATCTCATACGGATAGCATAAGTAATATAGAAAAGGTAGTAGAAAGCATAAAACTCGATCAAGTACTGAAATATATATTACAAACCACCATACATGCATAATCCTTAAGGCAACTAAACCATTGCTCATGAGTCATCAATCGGTAATGGCCTAACAGGTGACTGGGAAATTAGCAAAGGGTGTGAATCTAAATAACCTTGTATAGTAGTAAACAGACGTCTGAGGTCATAGAAAAGTTTTAAATGAAGGGGCCCAATTGCTAATAGAACGCCAGTAAATACGGATCACTATTTGGACACTAATGTAGCAACCTCATATCTAACACGCTAAACACCACATCTCCTCTAGATTATGCTACATTCATAAACGTATAACGCAATATAATAGAAATTGGTAACCGGCAAAAAGAACAAAAGATAAAAATAACCAAAGCTTTAAGAACAGAAAAAACGCTTTACATTCTTCATTAATTTATGAGTACATTAAAATTACCCAAACATATGTTAAAAAGCTAATAAACGCGAAAATAGTGGATGAAATCAGTTTTAAAGGAATATGATCGAGTCAATAGAGCCTTACTTTAATCGAGGGAGGAAACATCGACAAAAAATACCATATAAAACAAATTAATATAGCAAAACCAGAAATACTCTCGTTAAAAAGTAATCATAAAATAATATTAAAAAATAAGGTATTTAAAAACTCAAAATATTTTAAAGTGTAAAAGCGAAATAGATATATTAAAGGAATTTACATTCGTAATTTTTTACAATAATCCAATATATCACAAAAGAGTATGGATAAAACGAATTGTATATGGTAGCACCTATTCATCTGATAGTTTATTACATTCGTCGGCAGATTCGTCATTTACAGGTTGATCATCGACTTCAGAACTACTTGATGTTCCATCTGATGAAGGCGAATTGTTCTCTTGAACAGTGAGCGGCATTTTATTGGCGTTTTCAATTTCACTTAACCTTCCATGACAAAAATCCAAGAGTGTCTTTTGAGAACTTGCTGGAAGATTTGCGAAGCCCTGGAGGAGTATTGCAGGATTTCTCAATACATCCATATAAGCTATAGAATTGGCCAAGCAGCTAATCTGCATGTGAGGAACAACATATTCGTCGTTATGGTCTAACAAAATAAAAAATGACGATAGAAGATTTTTCCCATTGCAAAAACCGATAGAAAAACAACTTACCAGGAATATCAGAATTATGATTGTTTTCATCTTTTTCTTGAGACATGACAATTGATGACCCCTTTAAATAAATAGAGCTTGTTTAAAGTGACCACGTCAATTTCAAACAAGCGCGTTTACTTCAGCGCATTGCAATAAATAATTTATCTGTTTCTAAAATCATCTTAAGCCTTCAATAATAATTTTCAGCGAACAGGATGACACATAGCATTTTATTTTATTTCGATTTTAATAATTTTAATCTATTTCAATTTGTTCACTATTTTTCAATAAGTTTGTTATATTTAACACTTGATTTTCCTAAGCATAAATGCAAATAGAGAAACTCTTACAAGAAATACTTTAAGCCGAAGCGAAGTTTTTACTAGCTTTGCTTTTAAAGCATATTTTTTCTAAATAAATGTCAATTAATTGAAAAGTCATTTTACTTTTCTTCATTATTTATCAATATAGCTCTGTGAATTAGAAAGTCACTAGATGATTTTAATTCTATTTTACTCGATTTGTCAAAAAATTACAAGTTTTACCAATATAGGAAACCAAATCCTTGAATCACGGATCCAATATTTGTTTGGCCATAAGATAAATGGTGAGAGTATATTTGCTTTTCGCTAATTATATTCGTACTCTTTTTCCCTGCGCTATAAGCAAAGCTAAAAGAAAAAGCAATAAATGCGCAATTAGGTTTCATATGTCTATTGAGATTGCCCTTATTACGCAAAACGGGGTTGTGCATCGTGACCCAAAAGAGTCGCGAAATCTAGAACCTATATAGCCTTTCGATTTCGCATATGCAAACTATTGGAGTAGAAAAGCAGGTAAGAAGGATTACGTGTCATATTAGTTGCATAAATTTTCTTTCCTTTAATTACATATATAATCCATGGATTTTATTTAATAACAATTGTATTAAAACGTTTGAACTTTTTGACTAAAAGATGCCTAATTTGTATTATGCCCTAATTCTCTTCACTTTAAGTTGAATTAAATTTTGTCTTCGAATCTTGTTCATCATGTTCTTTCCATCTGATTTCCAACGCATTACTTCTGAATTCTTTAGATTAGAACTAGCCAAAACAGTGAGATTTTAAGTAGTAACCACCATATGTCCACAATTTTCCAGCTAAATTGTTAAGTTAAACTAACTGTTATGGTTTTCCTATTGATGAATCATGAATAAAAGTCTAACCAAGTGCGTTCATAGGAATGTCTTATTTTATTCATTCAGTTTTTAAGCTATTTTTACCATTTATTGTATATTATTCTGGTTACCGGCCTTGATGCGTGCTAGGTAATCTGCCTGTAGATATTGAGCTCATATATACACCAATGTTTTTAACTTGTGTAATTCAAGATTAGCGATTTATTTAGCTTTAATCAACTTTGAACGTATTTATAAAGTGGTTTTGGAAAATGCACTTAAATCGTCAGCCATTCCATTAGACTACACTGAATATGTCCAATCATGTTCTCTATGATTGGTAAACATAGGGTGCAGTCTGGTGTGACGTCTCGACTTATAACCTTATTTATCAAATCTTATGTGGAGCTATACTTGGTCTAGTTCGTTCATATGGACTACTAATTATGGACCATAATAATTAAGTACAATTTAAAATTTTTACCATGAGACAGTTCATTAACACGGAAAGCAGCAAAATGGTTTACCGAACCATGAGAAATTGATAGAATAAGAGCTGAATGTCTGGAGTCCAGTGTATCTGAATTCTAGAAGCATTGAAATGTACGTTTTCTCCTAACAGATATAATTAGCCTTTAATTGTTCGAATATTACAAACATTACTCTTACTTAAGAGCATTTGATTAAGTTTATGTGTATGTTATTCTGTGCCCTTTGAATAGTTGATTAAATTTCGTGGTTGGCCGGGCAAATGAATTACTTACTGTTCCCTGCAACCAATGGCAGAGTAAAGAGTTCTAACCATACCTGAGGTCAACATTCTTCACTCTTTATGAGCTCAAATCATTCAGGCAGCTTATTAATTTATTGAGAATTACTTTTAAGGCTGATTATTGTTTTCGTTTAAATTTCACCCAGTTAAAAATATTCGATTTGTTTAAATACACAAATTAAGCTCTTTTCTATTTCTAATTCAATGTAGCGAAGGATGTACATTCGAACATTAACTGGACAATGGATGGTTTTGGCCCAGCCTCATGATTTACTGAGTGGGCAAATGGTATCAAACGACATTATTCCCAATGTGGATGCCGTGCTGGACAGAATGCACCAAGTAGACAATAGTGGATACTATCTCGGTGTCAATGGAAAGTGGACTTATCACAACAACAATTGTCAACGCTATCTGAACCCCTATTAAGAAATGATAATGCTATTTTCCTTTCAAAGCAAAATTAAATTTTATTGACACTGACACAAATAAATAAATAAATAGCTTGATATTCATTTTGTGGTGGTTATTATCCAAATTCAGGCAAATCTGAATAAGGCATTAAGAGAATAGTGAAACTAGGATTTTAGGGGGAATTTTTGAATCAAGATATCGATTGCTGATGAATTGGTATTTATTTATATCAAATGGCTAGCGTCTTGATGGTTATCATTAGCCCTTTAGTTGACTTCAGACTTCACAGAGGGGAAGGAACATCAAATTGAAAACAGTCGAGAGGGGGGGGGGGACAGAAGAGTGTTTCAAAGATGTAAGAAACAAACACAAAGGTAAAAAAGGTGAGGTGAGTACTGTGAAAATAGTTGAATATGGTATAGAGTGGGGTGATGGTAGTTTGAAGTGAGAAGTCAACTGCCAGTTAATAGACTTTTTGCCGTATGAATATACATTGTCCTGGGTGCACCAAGTGGAGGTTAGTCTATCGCACACCCCATGTTTTCGACCAATATTAAAATCAATACGAAAATACCAATGGTTGTACATAAACAGTGGAAATATTGTCTGCCAATAAGACATCTTACTGTGCTTGTTCGCAAATTTTATAGAACACTAGATGTGAGGCAATGCTTTAGGGAATTGATATCCTCAATTAGAAGTGGTGATGACGGACAGGAGGAAGAACGTAGAATAAGCCATGAGTGACAGGAACATTTATATATAACAAATGGAAGGCGTTTTGATAGTTATCATTAGTCC